ATTCTCCTGCCTCAGCCTCCTGAGTAGCTGGGACTACAGGCATATGCCACACACCCGGCTAATTTGTTTTTATTTTTAGTAGAGACATGGTTTTGCCATGTTGGCCAGGGTGGTCTTGAACTCCTGACCTCAGGTGATGTGCCTGCCTCGGCCCCCCAAAGTGCTGGGACTACAGGTGTATGCCACCACACCTGGCTAATGTTTGTAATTTTAAGTAGAGATGGAGTCTTGCTCTGTTGCCCAGGCTGTTCTCAAACTCCTGGGCTCAAGTGATTCTCTTGCCCCAGCCTCCCAAAGTGCTGGGATTACAGGCTTGAGCCACTCTGCCCGGCCAGGGCCTGCTTTCTGACTACTGTGTCATGTTGCTTCAGTTTGCCTGGCTGACTTTCTCCCTCTTCAGGCCTGGGTGTCGCGTCAGCTTTGAGGGGCTTTGGAAATGGTGTTCTTCCTGTTTTGAGAATGTCTTGAATGTAGTTTAGTCACTGGATGATCAGTCTCTGTTCTCTCTAGACACAATGAGAAGCTCATGTACTGGCGGGAGCTTTGCTCAATGTTCAGTAACAACAAGAACTTCCAGACGTTAGACATGGAGAACACCAGCTTCGATGATGCCTCCCTGACCATTCTTTGCAAAGCGCTGGCTCAGCCTGTTTGTAAACTCCAAAAACTCATGTAAGTTCAATGTTAACTTGTCCTTTAAGCAAATAGCAGAGTTTCCTTCTCTCTACTTGTGCCTTTTTTGAAGAAGACCAGTGTGTAAATGAAGAGCTGCAGTCCAGTATATTAAACATAGTGACATCTAGAATGAAATCTAGTCGTAGGGACAGGGAGGGAGCAGTCCTGGTTAGGGGTGAGCTTTGCTTGGATGTGGATGGATGGAGAAGAGATGTTTCCCAGGTGAGAAAGGAAGAGTGCTGAGGACAGAAAAACAGCCTTCAATTTTGTAAAAAAGAAAAATAATAAAGATAAGCATAATAGGTAGCATTGATAAAACAGAGCAGGGTGCTAATGTGCAACAGTTTCTTCAGCTTCTTTGAACCCTAATGACGTTTTTGTTATTTTATACACATAATGTATGAGAGGGTAGAGAGAAACACAGTTGTTCCTGATACTTCACTTGTCTTGATTTGCCTGGGCCATGCTGTTCTCTTCAACCCTATGAGCCAACTTACTGCTGTTGGGTTAAATTTAAGTCTTCCTTCAGCTTGAAAGGTCATGTCATCATGGAAGACTTTCTATGCTCCCAAAGCACCTTATACATATTTTTGGTAAGAGTGCATCAAATTATTGGCCAACATATTGTGCAGAAGAAAGTGAACATAGCAGACTCAAGACTGCTGTCTCTAGAAAGAGATGTCTTGAAACTCGGACTTCAGGAGAGTTTCCACGAACCTAACTGATGACAGTGGTTCACTGTACAGAATATGTGGATGACAGGGAATGCCTACTTTCCATGGGCAGGTGGTACCTGGGTATCGCTCGTACATTGAGTGGATCACTCCGCCAGCAATCCCCGCGGCCCCTCCAGCCTGCCATTTCCTTCTGCAATCTGCCCTTAATTTTGATTCTGGTCTACTCAAAATTCCCATTCTGGTTTTTGAACATGGCAAAATATTTACTTTTAAAATTCTGTCATTTCTTTTCTTTTCTTTTCTTTTTTTTTTTTTTTTTTTT